GCTCATGAGCGTGGGGCTCGGCAACCCTGCATCTACCGATGATATGGCCATGTACCCATCGCTCTCAGTAACTTCACCCAGGCGAGATGGAGCCGATGACCGAGGGTGCAAGCGCGAGTCGTGGCGCTGAGGGCCTGCAGGTGCTGGTCGCCTCTCCCGGCATGTCCCCTCCGTGGGGTGGAGTCGTATCATGACGAAGTGGATCGGCGTATCTGCCGGTTAAAGGGTGTTGACGCGTGATGCGAGGTCATTGGGGACGCGAAGTATAGGTCGTAGCTGCCCCACATAATGCTAACTTCCCCGCCTTGTACCTACCCCGCAACTTTCACCCCAACTGCACTTGTCCATTTCCAGTGCATTCTGTCCCGAAGGTGACACAGATGCTGTGGAAACAGCAGGAAATGCGCGTGCAGTCTCGATGCTTACGGATGGCAGTCGCTGTGGTGGACGAGCTCAGTCCCAGGGAGAGCGAGAGCGAGACTTACGCACTCCCCTTGATAAGATTCTGAGACTCAGACTGTTACTTCTTGTATATATCAAGAGCTAAAATGTCGACCCTGACACATTCTGAATGGGACGAGAAGACGGGCGGTCTTGAAGTCGCGAAAGCTTTCGCCAAGCAAATTCATGGCAAGAATGGTAGGACGTCCATGTGCTTACGCTGTTGAAAGCTGATGTTGACCTAAAAAAGTACTCATCACCGGTGTATCCCCTGAAAGCATCGGCTCGTCCATAGCCCTCTCGGTCGCCTCCCAAAATCCAGCGCTCCTCGTTTTCGCCTCACGCACCAAGTCCAAACTAGAAGAGGTCGTAAAGAGCATCCAGGATGTCTATCCAGACGTCTTAGTCAAAGTAGTCCTTCTTGACTTGATGTCTCAAGAATCTGTCAAGACTGCTGCAAAAGAAGTGTCACAATTGACGAGCCGCTTGGATCTGATCATCAACAATGCTGGTATCATGACAACGGCGCGTCAAACTACCAAAGAAGGCCTCGAAGGTCAATTTGGCGCCAACCATATTGGCCACTTCCTCTTGACCAACCTGCTCATGCCTCAGCTTCTGGCCTCAGCTTCCTCTTCAGATGAAGGTACCACCCGCGTCATCAACCTCACTTCTGCTGGTCATCGGTTGAGCCCTGTTCGATTCTCTGATTACAACTGGGAGAAGAGCGAAGACGAGATACCCGAAGAAGAGAGGCACGTGCAGCTTCCTCCGAAGTTTGCGAAGGGCGCAGATGATGGATACAACGGGTGGCTGGCCTATGGACAGGCGAAGACGGCGAACATTCTGTTTTCAGTGGGTTTAAACGAGAAGTACAAAGTAAAGGGTGTGAGAAGTTATGCTGTGCATCCCGGATGTGAGTAACTCGCTGCGCAAGCCTTTTGAGTGCGTGGTTTCAAAACTGCTGACGAGCTTAGCAATCTGGACTGGTCTCAGTCGAAATCTGGACGCGGATGGCGAGGCTGCGATCCGAAGTGTTAGTCCGTTCTGGAAGAACCTTGATCAGGGTGCTGCGACGGTATTGGTTGCGGCGCTAGACCCAGCATTGGACGGTAAGTGAAGGTTCAGTCCGCAAAACTCAACACTGACAACGTACTAGAATCAAAGGGTATCATGCTGTCTGACTGTCAAATGTGTGATGCGATGCCATACGCGACTGATCCGAAGTTGGCCGAGCGACTGTGGACGTTGAGTGAGAAGCTGGTGCAGAACAGCTTCAAGTTGTGAGGTAAAGCGATGGTCAACGAAGTAAGAGATCAGGTGCAATGACAAAGTGAAGCGCTACCTAAGTATGGTCGAAAATTGTGGCCAGTAGTGGTTGAGGAAAAGAATCACTGCATAACAACCCTTTCGCGTTTTCTGTCAATGTCCTTGAATATGCAGAGGTGTTTGTTTGTTGCGGTATTCGTACCTAGTGGCTTGGTAGTACTCCACCACCACTGTCCGATAAGATAAGCGTGCACGTTCCACCGCGTCTTGCCCTGATGTCACAATCCAAGACGGACTACCACGCCCGAGCATCGTCACTTCAAGTACGGCCCTCAACTAGCACAAAAACGCGTCCTCATTCTCCCATAGATAGTTCGTGGCCTTCGCAGCCATGTAAGTTCGTGTCCGCGTGGTTTCTCTTGCAGCAATAGACTCGGATTATTTGACGATCTCGAAAGCTATGTGTAGCTACAATTGACCACGTACTTGATGTGAGCGATTCACGATGGTAAGCGCGTGTTAAGGTCATGGCAGATACTTTTGCTGGAATGTCGGTCGATGCAGAAAGGCGAACAGCATCGAATATGCGAGAGGTATGTTGGAGCATATCGCATTTCTGCTAGATTCTGACCCGAAGATTAAACTAGAGAACAGATGATATCACTGCGTGATAGCACAGAAGCAATACCGTTAAACAACACGATCCGAGAACCTATCCCGACCGTCTGACAGGCCATGACCTACCGATTCGAGCCCCATATCCTACACGTCCTACACACCAGCAGCTGCGCGATGCCCACGGGTTGTAAGCAGCTTGCTGAAGTCGATCACACAAGCAGACTCGGACCACGGCAAAAACCAACACCAAATCAAGGACGAAGACGAGAACGAAGGCGAACACGGACATGAAGAAGCGCTTGTCGCAGGCACTTGAGTACATCTAGCCAGTGATCGATTCGAACATGCATGCAAAACCGGAAAGCAGTAACAATGACAGGCCAAACGGAGGGGCTAGGAAGCGCAGGCAAAGGGACAGCGGACAAAGCGCTATCGAAAACACTCCACGATCGCTTGCGAAAGACAGCTTAGTCCCACCGGACGACAGAGTCTTCCAAAGCGAAACTCGCATTCAACGGCTTTGAGCTACTCTTCACTATTCTCTTCGTCTCCCTTTTGCCTTTTACGGGGTTGCATTCCTGCGATCGGTTTCCTCCTCTTTCTTGCAAACGTATCTCCAATTCCCAGCACTTGTTCGAGGTTCGACATTCTCAGTGGTCCAAAGTCTCTGCTGTCCCTTACCGTCGGGTGGCTTACCAGATACGCATTGATCTCGGCCCTCAATGTTGCTAGATCTGGCCGATGCTCTTGCTCCCAGTTCACGCAGCGCGCAACCAACGACCTCAGGTCTTCCGAGTATTTGCTCAGTGCCGGAAAGCCCAAACCTTCAAACGGCTTCGCTCCGGTCTCGTCTAGTCGCCCATGATCCGCTTCGCCAATGTTCACGTTTTGCGGCATGTCCTCCGAGTAATGCAGTTCGCGCTGTGGACCAGCGACAGAACGATTGGCAATCATGTACCAGATTGCTGCTCCGATGCTCCAGATATCTGTCTTCTCATTCAAAGGTGTCAAGTCAGGCGGAGTACCTCGTACAAGTTGTTGCTCCTGATGCGATTAGCACGAGTTATTCTGGGTGTCTCGATACCGAGCAGATTTGGCTTACGGGAGGGTACTTGAAACTGGTGTGGCTGAGCACGTACTCCTGAGGGTTGTCTGAGGGTCTCACTGCGGGATCACTCTGCTCCAGATCATACATTGCCATACCAAAGTCGCTCAAGACACAGTTTGGATAAGCATCGTCAGCCGCTGGCTCCAAGAAGATGTTGCTCAACGAGACATCGAGATGCGTGATTGGTGGCCAAGCTGACTCCGCTGTCGCGGGATCTTTCGATCCCGTTTGGAGGACCAGGCATGCATCAACAAGCTGCGACAGTACATGCCAGACCAAGCTCTCTGGTACGACTTTGAGTCGCTCAATTTTATCCGTCACTTGTCCTCTTTTCCATCGGTCAAAGTGCTCTTTCAATCCCTGGAATAAATCGCCACCTTCACAGAAGTCCAGGTACAGTTTGAAGCGGCGCTGCTTCATCATCAATCTGTACCCTAAATGCCTCAACAAGTTATCATTGCCCGAGGTATCAGCGCCAGCGGCGGGTCGATTCGCGTCAATACGCTCATGTATGCGAATTTCACGCGGAAGATAATCTCTCCAATACGTTGGATCCCGCCATTTCCAGTTATGTGGGCGGACTTCTTTAACGACCATTCTGGCCGTCACGATGTTGTTGTCGTCGACTGCGCACCACAAACCTGCACATCCAAAAGTGCCTGCACCTAGAAACTTCCCGCCTATCCACCTTCTTCTGTCGCCATATGGATCATGGGTATCATCCATCCAGTTTTCACCGTTCTCGGGCTCTTCTTTAGACTTGATGGCTTTTATGGTCATGCCTAAGGTCGCATCATCTGGCTCCGCATCCCACGGCTTAGGTGGCCAGAAGTCGAAGGGATATCGATTTACCGGCCGTGGTGGCGGTACTGTAACGGCATGAACAGGCGCTGCAACAGGGCCTGCAACGACCACAGCGGGCGGTGGCACAATCATCGCAAGCGCACCGAATCCCGCTGGAGCATTCACCCACGCTGGCTCCGTTCCTCCCAACCCATCACGATACGGCGGCATACTCTTGTTTGTGCGCACGAACGTGACGTCGCTCGCATTGAACGGGTTATCTGGTATGGGGTTTGGTGTTGGCAGACCAAATAATTCTCGTCGCCCGATTCGCGCGTTGTAGTAATCGCGGACGATTCGACTACCATACCATAACGTGGTGACCGTGTTGTTTTGCTCGGCGCGGCTCCATGTGACTGTCGAGGCATTGGTGGGGAAGTAGGCTTCGCAGTCGCGTTTGAAGTAGGGGAGACCGGACTTATAGGGTGGTGGCTTCCGTGGCATTGGTGGATGTGCTAGAACAACTTGTCATTCGATCTGTTTCCCAAAAGGCTATATCGGTAAGGTGCGTTCAGGACTACAACGGCCGAACAAAGAGATGCAAACTTCCTGTTGCGGCACTTATGCTGACGCCGGGAGATGGCTGATGCGGAAGGACAAAGACATGGATACAAGCACGTATTTACAGATAGGTTAGTGGATATCGTGAAGCCGTTGCCATAGCTATGGGCGCATACAGATTTCAAAGTCGCGCATCGATCTGCCAAGACTAAAGCCGTGTCTAATTCATAGGTTGCCCAATCGCGAATTCCAAATCTCGAACGACCTCTAGCGACTCCATATTCCGATCATTCGCAACATCCGGGTGCGTCGTAAGGAAATCATCGATCCTATTCCTCATCTCCAATAACGTCGGCCGTTCACTCGATTGCCATGTCAGACACGCCAACGCCAATAGCTTCAGATTCTCGCTGTAACGTTTGAAAGTAGGAAAGAAATCCATGTCATTCCATGGGTCATCCTCTGGGTCGGTGTAGGTTCTCAGGTCGCCATGTTCGCCGGCGAAAGGTACAGCTGCGTCAAACTTCTCGACAAAGCGACATGGCCCTTGGCCGAGAGGGGGGTACAAACCATTGCTGAGTAGTGAGTAAAGTACTGCACCGCTAGAGTTGCAGTTAGTAAAGTTCGAACGGGTATTCCATGGTGGTGTACGTACATCTGCCATACATCTGTCTTTCCGTCTAGGGGTACTACCCCACCGCTTTCTGCTGCGTCATCAACTACAAACTGGTGTTCCTGCTTCTGATTAGCTTCGTAAGAATATACGGATAGTAGCCTTGTTACTCACAGGCGCATATCGTGGGTCTGCCGTTTCCCTGACATACTAAGATGGGTTGTCAGTTGCAGGAGCACCCATGTCCGTAAACGAGAGGCCGAAGTCTGCCAAGACAAACGTTGGGTACTGGGCCGGTTAGCGCACACGATCTCCAACGTAATCTATGGAGGTTGGTCACAGACCTCATTCTCGTTCTCCTGAGCCGCTGGCTTGATGAAGATGTTGTCGAGTCTTATATCGCAGTGTTTGATCGGTTTCCACTCAGGTGTGGTGTTCTGCACACCTCCAATACTGACCTGGCCGAAATGCAGGATCTGACACGTTTGAACGAGCGAGCTAGCGATTCTCCAGATAAGGCTTTCGGGTATCTTCTCCAACAATCCTGCTTCTCCGGACTCCCCTTCCGAGTTACGGTAGCAACGAAACTCCTCGTCCCATTCGGTGTCAAGCCATGGCTGGTCACCTTGGTAAGCATAAACTATCTTATTCAATCTGTTGCAGTGCTTCTCTAAAGCATGCCAAAGATCGCCGCCTTCGTAGTAGTCAAAGAAAATGCGATAACGCCGCTGGGTCATCATCAAGCGGTACCCATGATGTCTAACCAGAGTTTTGTAAGCAGAATCAGCAGGCTCATCGGCGTTATCAGACACCACGCGGCCGTCATCGACTAGCTGGTGCATGCGGATCTCGCATGGCAACTGCTCTCGCCAAAGGCAAGGGTCACGCCAATGAGACTTGTCAAGCCTCGCTTCTTTGATAACCATCCGCTGTTCTTTGTCAGCACGCTCTCTCAAACCTGAGTAATGATCCTATGCCTGAAGTCACATACCCTTGATATGTTACCTTGGGCATCACTTTGACACCACAATCCCGCACAGCCATAGGCGCCAGCGCCGAGAAATCTCTTATTCTCCCAGTTTTGCTCATCTCGAATTGGCCAAAAGAACGGCTTTGTCGTCACCCACTCTAGTCTGGCGTTATCCTCCATAACGTCATCCTTGATGGCCTCGATCGTAATCTCCGGACGGATAGAAGCGTCTTCTGGATCTGCGTCCCACGGCCTGTTGGGCCAAAAGCTGCAAGGGTAGGGTTGAACTGGAGGAGCTGCCGGAGGAGCTGCAATGACAAGAGGCGCAACTCCAGGTAGCTGTCTCGTTCTCTTTGCGGTGTCTACATCATTTTGGGTCCATGGTGCGGCTGGCACCTGATGTTGTCGCTGCATAGGATACTCAAACTTCTTCCCAACCCTTCGAAGGAAATAGTTTTGAATGATTATGTCTCCATGCCACAAGGTCAGAGCAGTCAATCTCACATCGTCTAATAGAGTAAGCTACCATCTCAGCATGCCCATCTTTGAAGGCTTACCTCCTGACCATCTTGGTCGGTGAGTCCGACACCATGTCTCGAAAGTTCTCTTAAAGTAAGGTTGCCCGGTTTTGTACGGTGGCCCTTTCGTCATGATGCCGTGTAAGGTGTTTTAAGACTTCCGAAGCTATAGTGTAGTCCAGAAGTGGCTTCGTAGGGTACATCTAGCTATTGAGAATTCGCATCTTGAATCTACATCAGCTTCTATACAGTTTGCCATATCTATGGAACCAAACATGGGCCTTCGGCACATGTTGCGCTGTACCTGCTTTGTGTATGTCTTCTGCCGTTGGGATCAATGATGAGTAACAATGAAACAAACCGACAAAGGCCAACGTGAGGCTGCGTGCAGAAATCAAGCACACAAAGAATACCAACTATTTGCTCAATCATTGCTTCACGGTTTTACCCGCTGTTAACCTTATGTGACCTCTAGCTTTGTTCACGCTCTAAACATATACGATAAAGGATCGTAGATGAGTACTGTTGATCTCCTTTCGGATGCGCGTCAAACTGTCTGCACATCCTCAAAGAAGCCGAGATGCAGTAGCAATGGCCGGAGTACTAGGGTGGCGTTGGCCGTGTTATCTGGCGATTTTGGACGGATACGCATAGGGGTGTTTGACTCAAGCTTGTGTAGTTGGTCTTTTCCTCCACGTCCCTACACCACTTGGGTGAAGTATCTATGTCCAGACACCCTGAGAATATCGTGCATAGCAGGCACGCTGTGACCTAAAAGAATGATGCCTAATATGGGTATTGACTAGTCTCTATGCTTTTACCTAGATGTCAACATGTGCATCTTAGGTCGGCCCAGCCATGGGTTTGTTCATTCCGTTGGCCCGTAACCAAGGCAGTATCGCGCGAATTTGCATGAAGGTGACTGTCTCGCGGAGAGGTTATCGATCGCATACGCCAGTTTGTGTAGCGGCTTCGGTTGGGTATCGCGCATCGAGACGGCGGGGATTTGGGTATCTCGCGGTTTGCCGAAGGTTATTCGTGGGCCTGTTGCGCTATGACGTTAACATTAAAACAGTGGAATAGGACAGTGGAATAATGAACCATTACCCTGAATGAAAAGTCAAGCTAGAAGATCTCCAACCCGGTAGGGTAGCTGGTACGCAACATTATCTGGTCAGATGTAGTGGGACATTACGCGTTTGACGTATGCGGACGCTGCTGTCGACTGACCAGCCTGTCCCAAATATAACATATGGTGTCGTGTGGCATACGACTGAGGCTTCATCGCTTCAAGGGTCGCGTAATCTCTCGAAATTCTGTGATAGGCGCGCCACGCAGACTGCTACGGCCTGCGCGTAGCATTTCGCGTGGTTTGGAGCATCGCGTCGGCGAGAAGCTGGCGAAAGGTTAGCGGACCAACTATATGTTGCGTCTCCCGAGGGTAGCGAATCGCAAGACCAAAGAGTATCAACTGAGATGTCGCAATGTGTACACAGCTGCGTGAGGTATGAAAGGCGGGCTTGGGGTGGGAAAGAACGCGCCGCGACGCGTGACGCAATTGAGCCCCACCCATGTCGATCAATTCCAGCCCCAGTGGCATTCATGGACCAGTGGCCTCTGCTAGCCAACACGATACATACACCGTTTATGTACACCACAGCGATGCTTTATCGGTTGCTCTATCCGCGCAGCCTCGTGACGAACTCTCGGTGACCCTGCTAGCTATTCGAAATCTCGTAAGGTGGTAACGATACTAGAGGTATCAACGCACGGTAAATTTACTCAAGAAGTGGGCACAGGATCCGTGTTCAATTAGGTATGAAAACATTATTACAAGATCTGACATAATGAATGTGTTAAGGAAACCCACAACCTGTAATCTTGGAGCTCTTCAACCAGTGAAGCTTGGCTACAAATTACATGCCTCGACGACCATACACACCCCATGTGCCTCGTTACCTTCCATCAGAAATATCAACAAGCAATTTTTATTGCTTGCCCCGTGAGCGACCGTTCTGCTTGAGGTGGTAGGCTAGTCGAATTAGAATATAGATGGGCAACAGATAAGAGATTGGACTTGCTTGACTTGCTTGTTGACATCTCTGTTTTCCAACCACTGCACTACGTCCCGCCACTGCTGCTGGCCTTCGAGGTTTCAGTGGCGCTCTTGTCTTTGTTCTTGTTGTCCTCTTCGGTCTGCTTTTTGGCTTCATCCTCTTTCTTTTTGGCTTCTGCCTTCTCTCTTTTAATCCTGTTGTATTCCCGAGCCTCGTGCTCAATGAAGTAATCGAACTCCTTCCTCGCAGGCCGTGCGGACGACGTGTTGATGTTGATGTGACGTGTTATTTCGGTTGAATAGCTGTTTTGAAGGATATGTTTGTGAAGTAGACGGAAGTAATGGTATGCTGAAGATTGTTGTTGTGCATCCATACTGGTGTTGATGCGCCTCCGTTTTATACCCAGCATGACTCCACGAAATAACTGTTGACTCCAGTGAGAGACCGATGAATGTGTTGATCATGATCAGTCAAAGGCATGGGCACGTCGATCGTGCGACGCGAATACATGTTGGTTTCCCAGCGTTCAGAAAGCTGTCATACTGCTGAGAGTCAAAGATAAGCATGCCAAATATCTCTGTTAGTGATACGGGGATGATGCATGTGTTTGAGCATATAATATATGCGTGCCACGAACGCGAGCTGTCTCTTTTGTGCTATGCTTTGACTCTTTGCGTCATCATAGTTAGTGATATTACGCGCGAGATATAGTCGATGCGCTAGGCGAGGTATCGAACGGTGAGAGAGACAATGACGGGGTTCACCCAGTGGCCTATGAGCCTCTCACGGATTATCTCGAAGACTGGTACTATAGATACAGTTAAAGGTACAGTCACGATGGTTCAATCAGCTGCCGTGAATCAGAAATAAGACTCATCGTATACCTAGTTGTTGGAAGATCGCGTGCTCACGCCGATTTGAAAGAAGGGATCAGAGTATTCGACAGGCACCAGGCACACGAAGCATCTTCACCCATTTTGCCGCTGCGCTTCTCCTATCGTTTGCATTATACTTCTGGACTGAAGTACGTTCTGCAGCCAGGGTAGTTCTTCGTCTCTTTCTCGAGGAATTTGCTAGTTGCCTTCCCCATGAAAGCTCATGCCTCCATACACCTTTCGGGCGTCGGAACGCTCGCACGTTTCGCCGGGGTGCAAAGCAACGCTGTATTTGAAACAGCTGAGATAGCCACATGCTGCGCAGATGAAGACTCTATATCTTCTGTGTGCCGCAGCTGGCCGAAAGAGTACTCTAGAAGGTTGCAATAGCGGAAGTTGAAAGGGTTGCGCAGGAAAGTCTGGAGCGTCATTTTATCGTAGCTCCAGATGTTAGTAACGGAGAAGAAGTGGAAAGGCGATGGCTTACCGGTCAAACAGTTCAGCGGGCGCAAATTCATGGACGTCTTCAAGGTCGCACACCGTGAACAAAGCCGCCGATGGACAAAGGACATGAACGACAGCTGTATTTCACATTTCGACGTTCGGTCACTAGCCGATGCACTCCTGGCATATGTTGGGGGCATGCTCTCACTTCCGTACGTGGGTGCAATCCTTTAGCGAGCGCATTACCGCACATGCGATACATATCTGGTCCGGAGACTTTGCTGCGTAGATGGCGAGGACGCCAGAGAAGCTCAAGTGCTAGATGGCTCCTTGAAGGGCGCGTAAGTATTGTTTTTCGGTCATCTCGCGAGTGTCCTTGGGGATTGACCGGCTGGCCGGGTCTTGCATCCGCCTTGCTAACCTATGTCGAAGAATCAAGGGGTCTGAGAGATGCGCCATCGATCATACGATTGACAAGTGCGCGATCAAGTGTATACATGCCCAGATTCAGCGCGCGTGAATATGAAAGGGGATATGCTTTGGTTATTTTTCACTGACAAGCTGCCAATATAAGCTGACGCAAAATATTTCGCTCGCTTATGATATAAGAATAAGGATCTGATGGGTGGTGGCAACTAATGGAACATGGGTGAAGGTCCTAGATTCATGACCGTGTGGCAGCACAGTAGCAGCCGCCAGAAAGAGACAACACCCGAGAACAAAACTCACGCTAAGATCGCATGAAAATTATTGCACAAGATGAATGCCGTGCATGCTTTTGTGCTCCTTGGTCTTTTCGCAGACCTTGAACCAAATGAGACCACCAGCGAGATCTGCTGCGCTCAACTCTCAGGAGGTCCACTGAGCAGAATG